GACAGGAACAATTGCTGCCAAGATTCTTATTCTTCGTTTTCCTCCTGCATTTCCCTCTTCCTTGCCCTGGTTATACACCTTGTAAATGACCCTCCTTACATGCCACATACCGCTGCTTCGGCTTCACGCTCCCTCTCCATCTTTGCTTTGCATTCATTTTACAACCTACCCGGCTTCTTACCTCTGCTCCTCCTTGCTCTGATTTCCTTCCCCTAAAGCTTCCCCCACAGCCAATGGTCAACTTCGTCGAAGTTTTATATTCCCATTACCCCCCGCTTGTCGACGTTAGTGTCGCCTGCGTGCGAGCTGTCGACCGGGTGCGTACAAGCCCCAAATTCTCCTCCTTACCTACGTCGTCCTTGACAGGTGCCTCTCCTTCACGCATAACCTTCCTTCCCTCTCCGCTCACCGCTATAATCACAACCAACACGCTCTCCCTCCCAAGTACCCAGCCTTGAAATACATCAGTCCCTGCTTCCTCATTGTCCACCACCTCTTGTCTCACAGTTTCATGGGTTTGGGCATTTTCAATGGAGACAAGCCCTGTTTAAAGGGGGAGGTGCGGGATGGGGAGTTGTCCTTGGTGTTGGTGGAAGGGAGAGAGGGCGATGTCTGTTGACCATGTCGCTGGCTGGAGGAAGACGGAGAGGCTGGGATTTGAAAGGGTTCCTGCGGCTGTCCGAGGGGCGACAATGGAGGGAAAAGAGTGAGGAAATGGTGAGTTAAAGACCACGGGGATGGAGTCTTGAGACTCCTTTTCTTCATTTGTCAGACGAATCATGAGGCAGCTTGTTTGGTTGTTTGATATTTGTTTAATGTTGAGGTGGAGCACTGATTCGGAAAGTACGGTCATGTCGTAAGCGCCAGCACGGATCTCTTTGTTCGTTTGATCTCAACTTAGTACACAAAGAATCCGTAAAAGCCAACATTTTGAGGAAGTACGTCCATTTCCCCTAATATCCTTCCCATGACTAGTGCTTAAAGACGGCTGGCATGCGTTGCATGGTCTTCAGATTCCGAACAAGGAAACTTGGCGGAAAAGTGCATCTACAGTCAACTTCGCGACTCCCACACGTCGTCCTCCATGTATTCCACGCACCTGCACAACTTGGCGGCTGTCCGACTGCATGGTCCAAACCGTGCCTTTACAACTGTGCAACGCAATGCGTGATGGTGGTGGGACGGGTAGAAAAAGAAATTTACAGTTGAGATCATCTGGAAAGCAACGGATCGGTTTCCTTTGACTTGAGTTCAGGTCAGCATGTCGTCGATGGAAAAATCCAGGCATGACGTATGCCTCCAACCTACCAAATCCACAAGATAGTGGCCAATTGTGGGCGACACAGACAGCCGTCCATGAAAAAAATATGTGGTACCTTGCATGATATCAAGGTAACGAGTCCTGACATATCTATATCCGGGTAGGTGAGAGAGGGAAGTTGCGGCCTGCGGATTTCGCTTGATATTATTTTCAATTGACAAGTACCAACAGTGGATTAAAAAAGAAAATTATATGTATTGTGAATGGATTATTAATCTTAACTTTTAAAAGTCGATAGTTTTGTATTCGCAAGTCTTGATTTGGTGACGAAAGTAACGTGCAACTGAGAGAGAGAGAGACGGCTAGCGTGGATGACGAGGGTCAAGGAGTATGTAAATGTCTGTAAAAATACATGTGACACGCGCTAGCGGCAAAGCAATCGATGCATGGTAATATATGGCACAATGAGAAAACCGTCCCGGCTACTTGTTACTGGCCGAGCATTCATAGGATGCGTCGCGAGTGACCCCTGTGTTCCAGTTCTGGTTTGAATTAACTTGCATTTCTTGTCGACACTTTTTCTCATTTTACATCATACTTTTTGATTTAGCAGTCAGTAGTTACGAATAATGCGGTGAATACTGCATTGAATGTGGCAATAACATCACCTGTGTGTAGGCAAATTTTGTGTTTGCTGTGCCCGTAATGCTTGCTTCGCACCAAAATTTAACGACTCATGTCATGAACGTAACCACCTCGCTTACAACCAGCTTTCCGTATCTTTCAGCTTATGTACATCATCTAAAATTGGCAAAGGTTGATTTACCCAAGCACGGTCATCTTTCTCCAAGTTCTCGTCCAGCTCTCTGTACTCTTCGACTTATCCGTTTTGCCTGTGGGCTACCCGAATCTGAAGGAAAATCATTATTAAAAACACTGCTATGCCATGTTAGTTTCCATAATTACAACTCGAAATATACCAAACTTGACCGTATTGTGTTGTAGGAACATTTTGCATCGATGCAAGCGAATCTCGGCACAGGGCAAATGAGCTTTTGGTCGTTTCATGTCTCCATTCAGGCAAAATTAAGGACCGCTTCGAAAGTTTCTTTCAATCGTTTACTTGTTGAATTGGTTTTGTCATGGTGAATTCGACGGCCATGCATTGATGCGAATGATCAACTCACAAGCCAGTAGTCTCGCAACGGGAGCGGTTGTGCTCTCTCTCCTTTCCGCTTAAACGGAATAATTTATTTTTCGAAAAACCAGTCAAATCCTATTAAAACGCACTATTGATGGTCATGCATGCATCTCCTCTTCCTTACGACAACGCTCGTACCACTGGTGGCAAGGGTATGAAATCTCCGAAGCCTGAAAATGGACTCCCGAAGTTCCTTTATCCTCTTTACACGTTATCCCCGAACGAAAGCTCCACTCCGTAGTATTAGCCATGCAACCTACGTCCTTTCCTCTGAACACCATGCACTGCTTTTAAAACACCTGCAACGCGATGCTTGGTGTCTCGACTAAGATATTCGGGATGCGTGGTGTATTTAAGCGCAGGAAAGTCAGGCACCGCCCACAGTAAATCCGTGGGGGAATGTCCGCGCTATCTTCCGAACAAGCAGATGGGGAGACTTTGACCTTACTCTTTCATGGAGGCGTCTTCTTTTTTGTGTAGATTCGTATGCTCTGCGGACAAAACCGTCTTTCCATCGACGGGGTGTTCATTTCGGTCTCTTGGGCTTTTGTTGAAAGCACGCTTGTTAAAAATCCCCTAACTTTCTGTTTCGTTTCGGGATTTCGGAAGAGAGTCGCACAGGGTATGAAAGTCGCGGTCCATGCTAGGTGTGCAACATAGCCTTCATATAACAAGTACCTGCTCACAATGTCGACGGAGTACAAAGAGATGGTGTGGCATCTCCTTTATCGCTCGACGCGTGCAGACGAGAAGCAACAAGAAGGTGGCTCCCCTCGGAAGGATGTGTCTGCAGGGGATGACGACAAATTGGACGGAAATCAGATGAAGACCGAGTTCGAGGAGCAAGAGAACAGCAAGCAAGATCAAAATGTCGGTGATGCGAAACAGGAATCGACGTGTGAGGTTCGGGCAGTGGTACGCGGCCCCATGGCCAGTGGATTAACGGATGAGACATTGGTGTCGATAGTGATCAACGCGGTCAAGAGCGGCCGCACCACGCAAGTCATCAACCTAGACGATTTCCCCGGAGACACAACGACCCTGAAAGCGGACGAAGACAAGAACAATGCAGGGCCTGAGCCTGTCAAAAGCACGAGCACGAAAGGAGTGCCAAAGAAGATGGCGGCGCCTCACTCGACTTATACAAATGCGAACCCTGGCAAGCACCATCGGCCCAGCTCTGCACGAAGAGCGTGTTGCTTTTGCACCGCGAAGAAGCTAGCTTGTAGCGGAGGTCTCCCCTGGTAAGTGATGTTTTTGGGCTCTCGGACCGAGACACGTGCGGTGCTGTGTCTCCTCCCTCTGGTGATTCTGTCGGTTGCAGGCTTGATCCTCCCTCTTCTTTTTCTGGTTTTCTCACAGTCACCTGTGCGCCACTCGTGGTATCACCTGCGAGTACGTGGAACGGAAGCGCCGACAACAGCCTCACGTGCCCAAAGTCATCAAACGGGCCACACCCGGGGAGGAGCCCGTAACCGCCGCTGTTTTTCGGTCTAGGCCCTCCGACCCCTCCTCTCTGTCCCCGTCAGACTCGTCGGCCATCCCTGCACCCAGGCAATCTCCCCCACCCTCTTCCCAATCCGGTGGGCCCCGGCGTGGCGCCAAGAGCACACCGGCACCCGCGACGGCGGCTCCGCTTCCCTCCCCTTGGCCACCCGCGCCGGCCCCCCGAGGTCCCTCGCAACCTATGCTACCATCTGCTCCCATGGCGGAAACAGAACGCGCGTACTGGCATGCCATGAACCCGTCCATGTTTCCCCCCTTTGGGATGGGCGGGGGAGGGGGGGGAGTCCCCCCCCACCCTATGCATTTCGCGGCGGAGCGAGCGCACGGACTTGCCATGCCGGCGTCCAACTCGGGCACGTTCAGGATGAGCATGGCTTCCCCCCCTGGCGCCAACGCCGCCGGTGCCCATACGGGCCCTCTGGCCAATACCAGCGGCTACACCCATACCAACTGGCAGCCCTCGCCCGGCCTTGGCATGCCTGGGGCCGGCCCTGGAGATTCCTGGGCCCCTCTCCACCCCGCTTGCAATGACATCCGCTTCCCACAAATGGGGACCAACGGAGCGGGCGCCATGTGGCAGGTTCCTTACCCCAACTATCCCCCTGCGCAATATTTCCAGGCTGCGCCGCCCCAGGACGAAATGCCGGTCCCTCGGGAGGTCAGGATGCAGTCGATGCCACCAGGTCCGGACAGATTGGGAGCCCTGGCAGCGGTGTCGGCGGAAATGGGGGGGAATGGACAGGCCAAGGGTCCTGTTGGAGGGCAAAGCACCGACGCTGGTGACGTGGATCGTGGCGCGAAAGGAGAGGAAGGGGATCGAGTGAAGGAGGGGCAAGGGGCTGGTGAGAATGGATCTCGGCGAGTGAGCATCGAAGGGAACTTGGCCTCAAGCAGAAAACGACCGCTCCACGAGGAAGGGGAGGACATAGACGAGGGAGGAAGGCACAGGGAAAGTACGCAATTGTGCGATGACGGGTCGAAGGGGGTTGGGAAGATGGGAAGGCGGGACGAGGCGAGCAGGAAAGGCCATGAAAAGGGTGAGTAGGGTAGGAAAGCGATACAGACTCGACGGACGCAACATGGCTGAAGCGGTAATCGAACAGGTGAGGGGGAAGAAACCAGCATCGCACCAGCCAACCAGGAGAAGAAGGGAACAGTGCAGGGATGTACTGCAGCATGAGCAGAGGCAGCAACCGGTAATCCTCGCGTCCGAGCTATCAGGCTGACATGGTAGGCTTGTCCAGCGACATTGATAGGTATGCGCGTCCTGGCATCTGTCCTTCATCACATCAGATGTATACGAGCTTCGGACACAAATAAAAAGAAAAACCGACTAAATTTTCGGTGGGACTACACTTCTTGTGCATTTGCAGGATCACAAAAATGACGGGGCGCTGGCTCTTATGCGCTGAACGGCGAACAAAACATCATTTAAACACCACGCTTCCTTGCAGAATAAAGTCCTTGTGAGAAAATTATACAAAAAGTTGCAGTTTCAACACATTGGAATTTCAAAGCGCAACATTCTCGTGCAACATCTTGCAGAAAGTCATAAGTCGAAAGCTGCAGAGAGCAATCATCATTTTTCATGCTGCCGCAAAGAGATCTTTTCTTTTCTTATGCACTCTGGTCGTCTATGGCATTGGCACTCGCTTGATATATACCTACATGTGGCCTTTGGTTCCAATGCGATCATTTCCTGCGGCCGGGGGTGCATTGAAAAGTAGCATTGCAGACGGTCCTAGGTTTCGGAGCTTGGGTATTTCGGACATAGGATTAGGCGTGTTGAGACATCGCATACCCTTGACTACTGTCCAAATTCCCTTTTCTGTACACGCTCAAGTTCCATTCTTAAACCTTGTCAATTTTGTTGGGGAACGCACAATCCGCCACGTAACGGGCTACGATTCATCCCTAAATCTCCTTCTTGATTCTGTCATTACACGGCATCAGTTTCTGAGACGGGCTCAGGCGGGTTTTTCTCGCCATTTTCGCTCGTCCCGTGGTCGTCTGTCTCCTTCAGAACTTCAAGATGCACGGTGGTCGGAGATCGCCGGATTGGATCCTCCGGTCCACACGATAGGTCGTCCTTGCAGTCGTTGGTCGCGTTTTCCTCCCTCTGATTTTCATTTTCCTCCTCGGGCAGTACCAACATCTCAGCTCCAGTTTCTGCTTCCGGAGGAGCTTCCGCACCGACAGTCTCCCTGTCGAGCGCCGTTAATTGCTCCCGCAGCACCCGCTGCTCCTCTTGCAATGCGGCCAGCTCCCGCCACAGCTCTTGTTCTTTGCTGTCACTCTCCCCCCTGCTTTGTCCGTCCTCTCCTTGATCGCCTTCCTCGCGCTCAGTTTCTTCATCTTGGGGACTTTGATTGCCACGAATGCCCGGCTTTTCGGGGTCGGACCACAGGGCGGCCCACCTCTGCCTCGCTTCCGCCACCAGCCTGGTCGCCTCTTCCACCTGCTTTTCCAGGGCTGTCTTCCTCTCCCACGCCCTCGTCAGTCGTTTCCGTAGGGCCGGCATGCCTAGAGGGTCCTTTAGAGCGAGCCGGGCTTTCTCTTCGATCGTCGTCACTGCCCGGTTCCAGCTCCGGCCCGCCTTGGCCACTCGGAGTATCATCTCTTGTTTCTCACTGGCCCGTCCTTTCCAGGCGGCTTCGTAATTTTGTAGTTGTTGAGTCTTTTCACGGTGCTCCTGCTCCAGGGCGCTTTCCTCTTTGATGAGCTGAGCCCGGGTCTCATGTTCTTGGGCGATGCGGCCGGACAGCGCACAAACCTCCGTGTTTAGTCCTTCCGCCTGGACACGAAGCTGTGCGAGCTCGTGATCCAGAGCGATGCTACGTGCATGGTAACGCTCTGCTTGATCATGTAACTCCGAAACGCGGACCTTGTTTTGATGCAAACCTGCGCGCAGGGAAATAAGGAGCGATAAAAAAGGGGGAAAAGATCGCAGAAGGGTGGGGGGGCGTGAGACTTTTGGCGCTTTACCCGGTGAAGTACAAATACAGACGTCCATGCAGCAAAAGCCATACTTAATATTTAGGTTGTATTCAATCATTAAGCATCAAAAACGACCTTGTGCTACATGCTGAATTTGCAGGTTCTCCGCGTGATCCCTTGCGCCGGTTGTTGATGGAGAGGATTTAGTCGGAAAGGCATGAGAGTGAGAGGGTCGCGGTAGCATACTTGAAATGAAAAATTCTGGTTTCCTTTATGATGGAAAGTGTTTTGTTATTTGTGTCGTTTCGACGGAGAAACGGACCCCTGTGGACGGTTTGGTAACATGAGGAGGAAAGAAGGAGAGGGAAACCTCGGAACGTAACAGGGACATGCTAAAATGGATCAAATTTGATGATTTATGTTATAGAAATGCTGACTTGATATTAACTACAAGTCATTGCCGACACATGAAACAGGAAGCTACGGAACTCAAATCAAGAATTTGTTCTTGGTGGTTGAGAGAACACTTCCCGGGGGGTTACCCTAAGCAATAGGGAAGTACACATACATGCCTACTATCAATGTACAAAGTCCATTTCAAGACGACGCATTCAGCTTCAACAACACGAGTAAGGACCCAAAAATGACCCACACTATCATTTTTATTTAAAATAGGACGCAATTTTGGCAATTTCAGGATAGCATAGCAAGTGCTGAAATTGAAGGGGGAGGTAGAGGCAAGCACGAACCTGACCATCTATCGCAGATAAACCCCATCATTTCTCGGGCATAGGACACCTGCCAAGAAGGTTGGCAGACTCCTGGGGATCGTGAGTGATTCGTCGACTTAAATTGGCAAGCGTGTCGTATTTTCTGTTGTGAAATGTGGTAGTGATGTTTATGTTTTCTTTGCCTCCTTTTTAATCGCAGCGAGCGGGGACGTCAAGTCTTCCTCGCGACTCAAGGGATTCAATTTGAAGTCTTCTTGCTAAGCACAACAAGAAAATCCCTCCCTCGAAATCTTGTACCCAGCAGATCTATATGATAATATTGTTCTCAATGTTGTTGGCCGTTCAGGGTCCTGCGCGCATTGCGTTGAACAAAGGTGTGCTACTTAACGGACGATACGCTCCTGCGTGACATCATTATCTGCTTGACTTACATAACTCAGTTCGTGCATTCACATTATATCTTGCTTTACAATCTTTTATCTCTTAGAATATCGTACGATACTCCTCAAAGTAGCTTTCAATCATGACTTTCTCAAACTCTCAGCACAAATGTTTTTCCTCACTTTTCCTGAGGGATAAGCACCTCCACAGCAGTCATTAAAAAAATTTCCTAAATCGTGTCTTTCCATTTGTGCATGCATCTGACAGGTGTCATAAACGTCTCAAAGTTTTGTCGATTTGCCTTTTTGTGCCCAGTAACCCGCATCATGGGTCCTGCCCTGATCAAGGGTGTCCTCCTCGACCTCCACCTCCTGCTTCGACTCAGCACCGGCAAGCGACACGTGATGCGCGCCATGACCCGCGAAGATTTAGTGGATCCAAATTCTCACCATACGAATCCATCGAGATCCAAACTTACCCCTCTTTCTCACGAGGAAGCGCTGGAAAGGCACATTCGACTGGAACTGCTGGGGGTCCCCCGGGGAAAGGAAGGAGGACGCGACCCCGCCCCTCACGAGAAGAAGGGCCGTATGGACATCATAAGCACCGTGGCAAATTCGATGGGAATCTCAGGCTTCAACGTTCATGGTGAAGAAGCGCGAGATCCTCGGGATGCATTCGCCTCAGCCGGCATTGGCTCGACCCCAACGCCGCTCGCTCCCCGTCCTCCAGGCACTTCCCCCTCTTCTCCTTCCTCTTCCTCCGAGGAGATCCGCACCAAGTACCTGGCCCGCCTTAGAGAAAAAGGACGTTGTCAAGGCGGCGTCCAGGAAGAAGGGAGGGTTGGGGACCACCTGGCTGGCGGGCAGA